AGCACTTGTTGTAGAAGAGCAAGGAATTCAATATTCATTATGGATTGCATCTCCATGTCAAGAAAACAAGTACTCTTACCACTGGACAAATAGGCAACATCATGATGGAAGGAGAAGAGATTGAAACTGTCAACAACTTCATCTTCGTTGGATCCACAATTAATACCCTTAGTAGCAGTAGTCAGGAAATAAGGAGATGCATTGCCTTGGAAAAATCTGCAGTTAGGGACCTTTCTAAGTTACTGAGGAGTAATGATGTCAGTTTGAATACAAATATATGTCTGATTCAGGTCAGAGACTTTCTGTTCCCTTGATGTGCATCTGAGAGCTGGACAGTAAATAAGGATGACAGAAGAAAAATTGATTTCTTTGAAGCTGTGGTGTTGGAGAAGAGCACTAAACATCCCATGGACGGCCAAGAGAACAACCAGATATGTCTTGGAGAGGGTGCAGCTGGAGTGCTCTTTGGAGACAAGAATGATGATACTTCATTTCACATACTTCAAGCATGTTGCTAGGAGGGGCTATTCCTTGGAAAAGGACATGATGCTAGGAAAGGTGGAGGGTCAGCAAAGAAAGACCCTCAACTAGGTGTATTGATGTGGTGACTGCCACAATGGGCTAGTGTGTCAGAAAGTGTGAGGATGGCACAAGACAGAACAGAGTTCAGATCTTTCGCTCATAGGGTTGCTATAAGTCGTACTCAACTCAGTGGCATCTAACAACAACAAGAACAGGATTATTTGATAATCTATAAAAGTACATGAATGGGGAACTCCCAGAAATTGAAGTTGGATTCAGAAGAGAACATGGAATGAGGGATATCATTGCTGATATCAGATAAATTTTAGACGAAAGAAGGTAATTGTAGAAAGGTGGTTACTTGTATTTTATTTAATGTGCAAAGCCATTTGACTGTGCATATTTTAACAAATTATGAATAATCTTGAAAGAATGGTTATCCTATAACACTTAATTGTTCTCCTGAAAACCTATAAAGAAACCAAGAAGCAATTGTTTGAATAGAACAAGGAAACTTGGCATGATTTAAAATAAGAAATGTTGTGCATCAGGATGGTATCCCTGTTCCATGTCTATTCAATCTGTATGCTGAGCAAATAATATGAGAAACTAGACTGAATGAAGAAGAATGTGGCATTGGGATTGGAGGAAGATTTGTCTAAACCTGTGTTAAGCAGATGACACAGTCTCACTTGCAGCAAGTGAAGAAGATTTGAAGCACTTTATGAAGAAAATCAGCCTTCAGTCTGCAAGACTTCTCCACATCAAAAAACAAACAAAATCCTCACCACTGCACTAGTAAGTAACATCATGGTAGACAGAGAAAATGTTTAAGTTGTCAAAGATTTCATTTTTCTTGGATCTATAATCAACATCCATGGTTGTTATTGTTAGGTGACAGATCTGAACCTGTCCTACCCTGTTCCATCCTCATATCTCCTGACACATTAGAGACCATTGTGGCAGCCACCATGTCAATCCACCTGATCAAGGGCCTTCCTCTTCTTCGTCTATCACTTACCTTTCTGAGTATCATGTTCTTCTTTGAAAAATAGTTCCTCCTAGGAACATGCCCAAAGTATGTGAGGCAAAGCCTCATTTTTTTGCTTCTAAAGAGCACTCTTGCTGTACCATCCCCAACACATACTTGTTTGTTATTTTGGAAGTCCATGAGATGTCCAGCCTTCTTCTCCAACACCACAGCACAAAGGTATCAATTATTTTTCTTTTATGGATTTAAAAAAAATCTTAAGAAAGATTTTATTTGCATATAATATTAAGGATTTATTTTTATAAAAAATAAAGCTCTCAGACCCATAGCAAGTGATCAGAAAGGTCATGATCTGAATCAGATGCACCTTTGTCCTCAAACTGACATTATTACTACTCAGTAATTTGGAGTTAGAGTCCCTAACTGCAGACTTTCCTAGTGCAGTATGTCTCCTGATTTCTTGATTGCTGGCACTAAGGAAATTTATTGCGGATCCAAGTAAGATGAAGTTGTTAGCAGTCTCAATCTTTTCTCCATCTATCATGATAGATCACACTTATATAGTAGCAGTTAAGAAATGACTTCTGAAAAGAAAGTAATAATAGCACTCCCTTACTTTAAATTCTCCTACACAGTGTTAGTAACAAAACAGCATGGTACTGGTATAATGACAGGCACATAGACCAATGGAACAGAATTGAGAACCCAGAAATAGACTCAGCTGTCTATGGTCAACTGATATTCAAGAAGGGAATAAAATCTATCAAACGGGGAAATGACAGTCTCTTCAAAAAATGTTGCTGGCAAAACTGGACTGCTACCTGTAGAAAGTTAAAACAGGATCCGAATCTCAAACTATACACAAAAATCAGCTCAAGGTGGATTAGAGGCTTGGGAGTAAAGGCCCAAACCATAAAGTTCATCAGAGAAAAACTGAGATCAAGCTTAGTCTATGGTATAAAGAGGCTGACAAATATAGCTAGAAATGAGTGCTCTGGAGAGGATAAAAATGATGAATGGGACCTTCTAAAGATTAAATCCTTGTACACATTAAAAATCATACTGAGTGAACTAACTCAGTTCCATAAGGACAAATACTATAAAACCATTATTGCACAATGAGTACATGATCCAAGGGTTGGGAGGGTAAGGGTGGAAGCAGAGGAATGAGGATGGGTAGGGGACGGTGTTAATCATGGGGTCTCACAATTTAATGGGTGGGGATGTGTGTGAAGGAAATGGGAAGGATCCAAAGATCCAATGTCAAAAGCAATGTATTCAAATTTTTTAAATATATCAGTATAATAAAACCCAAACAACTTTTTCCAACAGAGTGAAAAGAAAACCTACTGATTGGGGAAATACAATTGGCAATAACATTTCAGACAAGAGTCTCATATGAAAAGTTTACAGAATCCTACATGGCCTCCACAATGAAAAGACTGATAACACCATTACAAAACTGGCAAAAGACATGGAAAGAGTTTTCACAGAGGAAGATATTTGGGTGGCAACAGACACATGAGAAATGCACATACAACAAATGTACCCCTTGTCTCAGATTGTTGTAATATCATAATGCCTAATCATATATTCCTTTCAGCCATTCTTCCTCTCATATTTTCTAATGCAGAGTTCATTATCTATCCACTCTTTTCTCATTCTCTCCCCAATGCCCTCCCCCCAAGTCTGTCCTATTTTATAACAGCAGTGTTGGCTCCCTAATATCCTAGATCTGAAAACGTATGCTAAAAACTTGCTAGTCACCCCTAAAAATGAAGAAGATGGAGGGGCAAGAGAAAGAGTGTATAAATGAGCTCTGGATATAGAGAGGAAACACAATTTTGATGTGACCTCAATTGTCTTTTCTTTCTGTACATCAGTTTGATACTTAATGGAAAATGGATGGATGGGGTGGATTAAGTGCGGTTTCATTTTTTGGTGTTTTTTTTCTTCTGTAATTTTTATTAATTGTCTATCTTTCAGATACATATCCAGTGATTGAAAAGATAGTGGTCTGGATTAGGTGCACTTTAACTGGATAAGTAATAAATATTAGATAGGAATTGACAATGTATTGGAATGTATTTTTTGTTGTTGACTTTTTTTTGTTTTACAAATTTTACATTAATATTTAAAATTCATTTGGAATTTTCATTTCTGATGTGTGGTATGTAATACAGATGCGAGTTTATATTCTTTCTCTATAAACTTAAATGCTGTTTTTAAACCTCCTTTCACTCCTAACTTTATAGATAATGGCCTGCTCTTATTCAACTTTATGATCAACATTTTGTTTCATCTGTATCATTCTCCTTATGCTGGAACTTGTCCAAACGTTTCTGTGTATGTGTGTGTGCGCACACATGCACCTGTTTTTATATGTGTCTGTGTGTGAGTTTATAGGAAGAGAGAGAACTAGAGACAGAAAGAACATATGTGTGCTTTCTGCATTATGTGTTTGTGTGAGTGCTTGTTTGCATATGGAGATGAAGATTAACCCTTTCAGTCTTCTCCTAGAATAAACTGGATTCTATTATTTGTCTTTCTGATATAGCAGTGATATCTTTACATAAAACACATACTAAAAAGATGAAATCAAAGTGTATGTCTTCTTGGGACATTTGAGGGTTGTATGAGTGTGTGTGCATGTGCACGTGCATAAATGTCTTTGCCTAGGGATCTATCTTTGTCTGTGGGGCAGGGGTAGATTGGTATCTGTAAGTGTATTTGTCTCTGTGTATCTGAGAGTTTAAGTGTTTGGATATGATAGTCATAAGAAATCAGAAAAGGACAAAGAGTGGAAGAGAAATGGCAATCAAACTAGACTATATATGAACACAATTTCTTCAGAATAATAGTAATAGAAGGGCCAACTTACTAGAATAAGGGCAATTTGGGGACAAGTTATGTAGGATTAAAGAAGGCTTGAAGTAGGAATCAATTAAACTCAGGCAAGACTCACTCAGGTGCAAGGAGAAAGCCCGGCTCTAGCTGAGGCTGCCAGAAGCCATAGCTTCTACAGAGCCTTTCAGGGTCTCCTTTTGGAAGCCCAGAACTGTTTTCTGTATATAACAGCTACACACATACTTTCAATGCCACTTTCTAACTATAAACAACTCTACAGCAGTTGACAGTCGCTGCTTTGAGCTAGTGGTAAGGGAGGCTGAGTCAGCCAATAACACACAGAGCCAGGTATGAATTAAAATTATATAATTGAGACAGAACAGAGAAATTATAACTTGATCCTTCCCCAAATCCCTCCTCAGATGAACTCTGAGAAACTGGAAGACTAGCTCAGCCAGTGAGACTCCATCTTTATTCAGATGCTCAGAGACTCCTCCAGAATGAGTGGAAGGAACATCTTGTCACAGGGTGTAAATGGAGGAGAGAGACTGACCAGGTCAACATGTCAATGGGACAGGCAGAAGGGAAAATGGGCTCAGCCTCCAGTGATTGGCTCTTTCAGGGCATGATGTACACCTCTTTACTTCTGCTTGGTCTTCTGTTGGGCTGGCACTGGAGTGACAGTTGAGGGGCATGGCTCTGGCACCTTGGGCTGGCAGGGCTCAGGCACCTTGGGGTGGCAGGGCTCAGGCACCTTGGGCTGGCAGGGCTCAGGCACCTTTGGGTGGCAGGGCTCAGGCACCTTGGGCTGGCAGGGCTCAGGCACCTTGGGCTGGCATGGCTCCTTGGTTTTGGGGACACATGGTTCTTGGGGTGGAGGCTGGCAAGGCTGTTTCACCTGCTGCTGCTGAATCTGAGGAGGTACGGTGCAGGGCTGCTTCTGCTGCTGGGAACTCATCCTTCAAAGTTGGCTGACTCTTGAGATAAAAAAATGATGATTTCATTAAATAAGGATTAACTGGGAAAGAAGCTAAGTTCAATGTCAAATATATCTTGTCAGGTTCCTATGGAAAACAGAGCTTATTGTCTGCCCCGTCTGTCTAAAATTGAGAATAAAAGTAATCAGCTAAGGTATGAATAATTTCAAGAGAAATACCTAGGAAGTTAAAGGTGATGTTTTGCTTCATTTAGATGTTTCATGTCTCTGTTTTCCTGAGGTATGGTATACCTCTAGTGTTCAGGTAAACTAAGAAGGTTAGCACTGGACTGAGATAAGAAGCCTTCATTTCAGGCCTTTTGGCAAAAATAAGACAGCAAAACAACTATAGTCTACAAACTCATAGTAACACAGAATGCCTTGTCACCTGCTGGATCAGTCTATATTAACTTAAGGCCCTGTGATTTCACTTAGGGTCTTGCTCACACATTTTGTTAAGCAAATACTTTGCTTCTCATTGTTGCTTCTCCAAATACTCCTCCATCATAGCTCACATCGTGTGTCACCACTAGGAGTCTCTTCTGCAGCAAGTCTCCCTAAAACTGTCAGTCCTTCCCTGTCCCTGTCTCCTTTCCCTAGTCACAATCATTTGCATTTGGCCTCTTTATGTGCATGCATTGCCAGAAAGGTCTGTAGACTTACTTCCAAAAGTTAGCCCCTGACCACGGTAGTTCAAGCAACAGTTGGTTATGGGGATGGTGCAGGACACAGCAATGATTTGTTTCACTGTGCATGGGATCACCATGCATCAGGGGCCAACTCAATGGCGGTTATCAATAATGATTAACTTCCATGATGTTTTGCAAATTCGCTGAGTAAGTTCCACCTCGGTCTGATTTACTGAATGTGCCCAGCACATTGCCTTCAAAAGCTAAATTCAAACTCATTGCCATTGAGTCTGAACCAAATCACAGATACCCTCCATTGGGTTTCTGAGGCTGTGAAGCATGCGGGGATAGGTATCTTTCTCCCTTGAAGCTGCTAAAGAATTAGGATAACCAGAAGGGAGAGACCCTTAAGGTTATTTATTCACAATGCCAACAGATTTCCAAACACTCGCTAGAGATCTGTTGAATGAATTATAATCTCCATAATAATCATTACAAACAGAAAGAATTGAGTCTCTGAAAGTGTCCTGGGCCTGAATCCTCTTAATTCACTGTGAACTCAAACACAGATCCCTCCCCTTTCCTCATCCTTGTTCTCTAACTGTCTGGTGAGATAGCAGGTTTATCCATCTCTAAGAATCCTTTTAGCTCAAACTCTGCCTTCCTTTGAAATAAAGACACTCCCTAATGAGTACCCTCTATACCTGTTCATCTTTTGTCTACTTTCAAAACAATGAAAAAGAAATAAAACTGCAATAATTTCAAATCAGAAACTCACCTGGTACACAGAGAAGAACAGGTTACCTGGTTGCTCCGATCTGATGTGAGGTCCACAGCCAGCTGGCTTTTATACACTGAATGAACCCTGCCTCAAGGAAATGTTTTCTTTCCTTGCTTGTCAAACATGATTCATCCCACTCCCCTCAATTACCTGTTGGCTCAGCTTTTTGTGATGAAAAACCACCCACTTGATTTTTTTTTTCCTTTGGCACAGAGTATCCAAAAAATGATGTCACCTTGGCCTTATTCCAATTGCCACCCTTCCCCTTAGACCCAGCAGTGGCGCTTGTATTAGGGGGGATGTGGCAACAGGCTTCTTAAGTGGTTTGTTAACCTTGGAGGGGGATCCAAGGTCTTGTATGGCCTTCACACTGATTTGCTTCCTTTTTCACCAGGAGGACACCTCTAGATTCCGTGGGATAGAATATGTGGGAAGGGCACATGAACAGGTAAGAAATGGAGGGGAACAAGTAGACTGGAGGTGGGCATGGGCTCTGTGCCTTAGTTAAGCTGAATGTCTGAGGTAATAGAATTGATGAATTACCATTTCTAATCAAGAGACCCAAGACCTTTGCACTAGTTTCCTCACCTTTCTCCCAGCCCCACTGAACTATATAGATTGAGAATTATGCACAGAATACCCCCCAAACCCCACCCCTACCTGTGGGGTTGTTAAACTGGGCAAACCTGCTCTTCTTTCACCAACCACACCTTCACCCCTCTCCTACTCCTGAGATTTTCAAGGACTAATCTGTCTTTTGGAATAGCCTCTCCCTTCCACTCCACCCAACCGTGTGAGAATGGCCCTTTCCCTTCCTAACCCAACTTACAGTATCCTTACCTGGAAACTTGTGAGCCTTTTCTAAATACCTCTACTCCAAGTCCACTCACAAGATCTTCAATTCTGAATCCTCTCCTACCTCTTCCCCATGCCAGTGCTGCCTCTAATGTGGTGTGTTCTTCCCCCCTTTTTTTACTTTATATCTCCTAAGGGGTTTCAGGAAGTTAGAACCATGCCTGCTCAAGCCAATGTCGTTCTTGAGGTTATATTTATATATTCAGTCTTTTCACAGATACTAATGGAGATCCTAGCACATGCCAGTCACGCTGCTTATTTTAGAAATGATACAAAGACGAAGACCACTTCATCTCAACAGATCAGGAACTCCTCGGAGAGAGAAGTACAGCACAGCTCAGAGCCACTGAGGCTAAAGGAACTCTTAGAAGCTTTCTGTAATCCTGCCTCGGGAATGTGAGTTCTACAGAAGGAAATTAACTCATCCAAAACCAAATATTAAACTTCTCAATGAAAAGGTTTGGACCTAGGAAGACTAGAGTCTCTTTTGTTTTAGTCCCACTTTTCTCATCAATAATGACAGAGAAAATAAAGCCTAGGCAAGAAAACCATTAAACACAGAAACTAGGCAACTCAGACTCCTCGAAGCTTTGCACTGGGTACAGTCAGAGTTCTGGCAAAGCTTTGAAAAGTGAATGGCAATTTGAGAAGACAGAAAGCGCCTTGCCTGCTGGATAAGCCCTTAATATTTGCTCAGCTAAATCCTCTTAAATAGGAATAAAGCTGCTTAATATTTTAAGTGGTAAGGGAGGTAAGCAATTAGAGGTTCTATTTCTTCTAGAAAAAGGAGGGAGTATTTATGAGCACTGGTTAAATAAGTAACTTACTCAGTTTATGACCCTTAGTGGGCCTGAGTCTGAAAGAGAAAGGGCAGATCTACAATGCCTGTATATGGGATCTGAGCTAGTTTTACCCAGGATGGGGCCCAGCCTCAGGGACCCCAACAGTGAAGACACTGACATAGCAGTCAGGTGGGCAGCGTCTGACCACTTGTCCTGGTATGCCTGCCCTCCCTCCATGGGTCTGTCTGATCTCATCATCATTAACTTCTGTGGATTCTCCTCGTCATGGGACTTATGTAGGGATGCATGAGCTTCCCTGAGGCCTGCTACCAGGAATCTCCTCGAATCAACATAACAAGAAACTGAGGTCACTAATTTAGACCTGCCCCTAAGTACAGTCTGTTATTAGGTGTGGCTTTTGGAAAATCCAAATGTCTCTTCAAGCTCAGCTGTGTTTATTCTTCCTCCCCCTCATTCTATCTACTCCTCTCCCCCTCCCCCATACCTAGATGTTTGGAGCATCTATCGAGTCCACAGCTGGATCATATTCCAGGATCAGTCACCACAGCCCCAATAGCGCCTTCACTAATTGTGGGTCCACATTCATCTCATATGCTTTTGGTGTGTAGTAGTTGCCTAGGAAATTGATGATATAGACTGAATGACTGGCTGAATGACTAACAGAATGGATGGAAGGCAATATTTGTAAAGAGAGAGCACCCAGAATCTACTTTGAGAGATACTCAGAAATTTCCTTCCCTTGTGCCAGGCATTATGGGATGAGCTGAGAAAGAGGAGCACAGAAAAGGACAGACACTCCCGCTGCCTTCCACACCCATCCACTTCATTGCCATCCAGAGAGCCACCTCCCTTTGAGATGATGCCACCGCCACCGCCACGCCAAACGCTAGGCCTCTCATCTCACTTTAACTCTGCTCGAGTAATGAGGCTTTTGCCTCACATACTTTGGGCATGTTGCTAGGAGAGGGACATGATGCTGAGAAGGGTGGAGGGTCAGCAAAGGAGAGGAAGAACCTCAGCCAGGTGGACTGGCACGGTGACTGCTGCAACAGGCTCTTGTGTGTCAGGAAGTGTGAGGATGGTGCAGAATAAAACAGGATTCAGATCTTTTTTCCCCCATAGGGTTGCTATGAGCTGCACTTGACTCAATAACACCTAAGTGCTTGGTTTAGCACTTTTTCCCTCTCTTCATTAAAATCTACTCTCAGGAGCCTTGACAGAGGGAGTTCAGGAAGAACTTACTGCTTCATCAGTCAGATTCTCACTTCCAGAGGAAATATTTCCTTCCTTTGTGTTCACTACTGCCAACCCTGGTGTTGGGCCCTTAATAATCTAAACCTAGCTCCCAGTAACTTGATCCTGAGTGCAACTAGATTTTTGTCTCTGATCCCCTCCCCTTACTGTCCTCTCTTGTCTGTATTCCTTACCCCACCCAGTCACCGCTCTGACTCCAGCAGTCTCTGGAACTTTCTCTCGTACAGAACCCTAACCAGGCTCCTCCTGTGTGTTTCTTTGAAGTACATTCAGTGACTGTGCTCTTAAGATTCTTCTTTAGACAAACTCAGTTTCTTTATTCCAAGTTGAGTCTGCTCATTGATCTGGCTCCACATAAAGAAAAAAGGAAGCCATGCAATCTTGAATACTAAGTGTCATCTCCTGGGATTTCTATCTTTCATAGGAGCCATTATAAAGATACAAGAGGACAAAATCTGTCATGTCCAAAGTCAGGCCTACACCCACTTTGACCAGCTCCTAGAGTTCTCTGTTAGCTTTCAGTGCTGTTTGCTATTTAATACTTATTGGCAAAGGAAGATTGATAAATTCCAGCCTAGTGAATCCTTGATCCGATCCTACCCAGTTAAAACTATGCCTACTTTCCACTTCCCCAGTATTTCAGACAATCCTCCATAGGTA